TGAGCACATCTCGGATAGCCGACTCTATATCTCGGATACCGGACTGTAAATTTCGAATACCGGTGAGCACATCTCSGATAGCCAACCTCATATCTCAGATACCTAAATGGATTAATCCTATTGGTGAGTTAGGGACCGGTTTTTATTTAGAAGGAAGAACAACAGTTGCCTTTGCCATGCTTGGCTCTTCCTGACTCCATTATTTGCAAGGCGCGATTTGTCCTAACCTCTCTTTCTCCCTGCACAAAAATTGGCGACCCCCCCCCCCCCCCCCCTGTTTACGCCCCTTCTCCCTTCTAAATAATTACCAGTCCCATACAGTGAATATCAATTCAAAGAGCAAGCCTCAAGAGTCTTGAATCGATGATTGATTTGATGATTATCCCGGCGGGCATGTGCATGATTATCAAGCTAGTCTGTCTACTATTGTTTCATTGGCTAAGCTAGTTCACCAATAGGCATATGTTCCAGCCACAGTTGATGCATGAACGAATACAATTTTTCACTCAGAGAAACCTGAAAAGAATAAACAATTATGAGTAAAAACCAAAAAAAGGCGGGAAGATTTACAGTGCAACTTCTATGACTTGGGACACTTAGACAGTGACAAAGCGCTCTTTAGCCCCACCCGTCACAAACAGTGCTCTGCTTTAATAGTATACAAATGATATAGGGATAAGAGAGAACTACAGACCAAACTTCAAGCATTTGGTTTGTTGGCAGCCAATAATCCTTCTAACTGAGGTGATGCTACAAACAACCTCAAAATGGGCCAAAGTGGGTTTTCAAACAGATTTCATGAAGTCATGGTAGTCTAGGTCATGCCAAGGTCATGGTGTATGGAGATACGTGGTTTAAGGAGCACCATTTATCCCTTTACCTACCCCTTTGGACTTTTTTCTCATCTACTCCCCTATCCTCTGTCATGGTGTGTAGGTCCAGATGTGAAATAGTATGAGAGATGACAAGGTCACTGTGAGGAACAGAGGAAATCAAACAACACAAGTGACAAACTCACCTTGTATGGTGTTGGGTTAAGAGGTCGTTGATAGTCAGGACGGAGAACTAGCAATGCTGCCGTGAGTTTGGACTGGATTTCTTTTAAACTAGGCAGAGGAATGGCTATCTGAAATCAATAACGCATGTGTTAGTAAACACTTTCTGAAATAAGTGTTTTTTTTGTTTAAATTTTCATCAGCTTTTGTCAGGTAATCAGATTGTTTTTGTAATTTCTAAGCAGCAGCAGCAGCAATAACAACAACAACAACAACAGCAGCAACAACGACA